CATGACCAAGAGAGAGAAAGAGGGAGAGAGAGAGAGAGAGAGAGAGAGAGAGAGAGAGAGAGAGAGAGAGATGGACGCTCTGCTGTATTTCGTTATCGGCCAGTCAAAAAAAAAAAAAAAACAACCATGAAGCTTTGTTGTATATTTAAATATGGCGTAGACATTTTATGGGCTATGGCATCTCCGGCCGTTTAATGGTCAACCCCAATGACATCTCAACAAGTTTAAATTTTCTAAACAAATTAAGGGAGGCCTGGTTCCGTCACGACGGTGTAGAGGCTAGCGGCAGACGTTGACTGAGTTCAAGCAGAACTACACGCGAGGGCGGTAATCGTTGTTAAATTGTCTTCAAATAACAGCGACACTTGGCGATATTTTTATTTATTTTTTTTTTTTTTAAATGACATTTCTATTACTAGCCCCGGAAGTTCAAAATCGGGTTTAATCATTTAAACTTGACACATTTTGATGTTATTAATTTTTTTTTCCCCTTCAAATAACTTCGTCGGCGTCGTTGTTGTTTCTTTTTTTGTTGCTGTTGTTTTTGTTGTTTTTTTTTTTTTTAATTTACTTTATCTTTAAACTCTGCCAATATTTTGCATATCTCTTAAAAAACTCGAAGATTGATCATAGGAAAAAATTTATTGAGCTGTAGAAAACCTTTCAAACACTTTAAAATATCCTTAAAACAGACCTCAGCTTCATTTAAATTATTTTTTAGAAAAGCTTTCGTTTAAGCTCATCAGATTTTAAAAAAAAAAAAAAAATCTTATTAGGAAGTGAAAGAAGTAATGATGATTTTTTTTTTTTACCTCTGGGTTTTGTTTTCCTAAATGGGAACTTCAATTATAAACGTAAATTCCAACACACGAAATATTGCAGACGATCATCTGACAGCCCAAAAGGGCAATATTCGATTGACAGCTAACGATTTTATTTATTTTTTGTTTTTAAACTGGGCTTGTTTCTCAAATTAACTCTTGTCGACAAGCACAGTAAAAAAATCTGGCCAGATTGACCCGGTAAAGACGAATCGAAGAAAATAGTTCTTCCTGAATTCTCTAGACTTAAAAGGCGTCTATCAAACAATTAAATTGCATCAACATAAAGCACTTAGAAGGCTGCGTCAAATAAGAAATCGCCAACGCAATGGAGTCTAGTGTCTGAAATAGATTTTTTTTTTTTAAACTACCGTGGAACTGTTACATCCCTTGATCAGAGTTTATTTTCTTGAAATCTAAAACACTTGAAAGTTATATAAAGACACCTTTGACTCTATGGGACAAGCAATTTAAAGACATGCTTGAGCTATTTATGACAAATGTTTAGTTTTATTGTTAATTATTAATAGGAAAGCTTATTTTTTTTTTTTAAATATATATTTTTTTTTTAATGAAGATATTTCTCTGAAAAATTTCAATAATGTCGTTAATAATACTATTTCAAAGAGTAACATCATGAAACCATGTTAGTCTAGCTATCAACTTTAGGGCTTAAGCTATTTCTTGGTCATGTTACGGGTAAATAGGTAAGGATAGCTATAGACGCACTATCTAACTGACGCCATAGGTAACTGACACCATAGGTAATTAACCCCATAGGTAATTGACACCATAGGTAATTGATGCCATAAATAATTGACGCCTTAGGTAATTAGCCCCATAGGTATTTGACACCATAGGTAATTGACACCATATGTAATTGACACCATAGGTAATTGACACCATAGGTAATTGACACCAAAGGTAATTGAAACCATAGGTAGCATGCGATACACACTGCTGTCAACAGCTTACCATCGGACGTCCATTTGTTATATGTTATAACGAAATAGAGAAGGGACCAGTAACCTTAGACCAATGACCTTAGACCAGTGACCTGAGGCCAGTGAGCTTAGACCAGTGACCTTAGGCCAGAGACCATAGACCAGTGACCTGAGACCAGTGACCTTAGACCAGAGACCTTAGACCAGTGACCTTAGACCAGTGACCTGAGACCAGAGACCTTAGATCAGTTACCTGAGACCAGTGACCTGAGACCAGTGACCTTAGACCAGTGACCTGAGACCAGTGACCTTAGACCAGTGACAGTATTGCCCCTAAAAGGAAAATACGTATTGCCCATATCTTAGGCCAAACTGCATCGTTTTCATGAGACACGCCACCTGCTTCTCCGATTGTCTGCTTTTCTCATTCCCTCTATCTCTATATCTCTCTATCATTCTCTCTCAATCAAAGTGCTCTTCATGCATGTCAGGAAAAAAAATGTGGCTCATAAAATGTGGCTCATAAAATGTGGCTCATAAAGTGTGGCTCATAAAATTTGGCTCATAAAATTTGGCTATAGTTTCCTTTGTCTTACATATCTAGTTACTTTGAATTTACTCTTTATCAGCACCGAATGGCTTCCTAAACATATATCTCTACTGATCATATCTATTACTCAGATGTATTTCTCATCTCTATTTGTCTAACATATTTCTCATATCTATTTCTTTCTCTACAGCTCACTCTCACTTTATCTCTCTCTCTCTCTCTCTCTCTCCTTCTCTTTCTCCCTTTCTCCCCCCTCACTCTCTTTCTTTTCATTTCTCTTTGGCTTTACCCTATCCTTCGCACTCCCTCCCTCCCTCCCTCCCTCCCTCCCTCGCCCCATCTCCCCCCTCACGCTATCTCTTTCTGTTCACTTCTTTCCTACCTCTTTACTCACTCAATCTCTCTCACTCTCTCCCTAACACACAGGCTTACATACATAACACACAGGCTTACATACATAACACACAGGCTTACATACATAACACACAGGCTTACATACATAACACACAGGCTTACATACATACCACACAGGCTTACATACATAACACACAGGCTTACATACATACCACATAGGCTTACATGCATAACACACAGGCTTACATGCATAACACACAGGATTACATGCATAACACACAGGCTTACATGCATAACACACAGGCTTACATACATAACACACAGGCTTACATACATAACACACAGGCTTACATACATACCACACAGGCTTACATACATAACACACATGCTTACATACATACCACACAGGCTTAAATACATAACACACAGGCTTACATACATAACACACAGGCTTACATACATACCACACAGGCTTACATACATAACACACAGGCTTACATGCATAACACACAGGATTACATGCATAACACACAGGCTTACATACATAACACACAGGCTTACATACATAACACACAGGCTTACATACATAACACACAGGCTTACATACATAACACAGGCTTACATACATAACACACAGGCTTACATACATAACACACGGGCTTACATACATACCACATTATGTGTTTATTTCCAAAAGTAAATCCCCCCGCCCCCACACACACCCTTTAACGGCAAAAGGGACAGGTTCTCACAGTATTAAAATTCGTCCCCATCCATCCCTGGGTTAATCTATGTCCCAAAATGTTAACTCTTTAAGCTGCATTAGTGTTCCAAAGAATCGATTCTCACACCCTGTTCTTGTTATTTTGGCCATCAGTCAGTGAAATGACCCCTGACCTACCGCCTACTCGTTTAGCTAACAAACGTATTTTTAAAACCAAAATTGGCAGCTTGTAATCAGCTCTAAAAGCTCGCTCCTTTCAAACCTGTAGGTCAAAGACAAAGTAATACATTAACCCATTTACAATCATTACCCCGTTACCCATATTACCGCCCCCCCCCCCAAAAAAAAAATCCGATAATATCATTAACACGCTGACCCCAATTACTTCCAGTATTCCACGATGAATTTTAAGCCCCAATTTTTTAACCGAAAATGTACTCTCAATGAACCATATCAAGGTACCCTCAGCGCCGCTCATTGGTCCATCGCTACGAAATGTTTTTTGTGTTTTTTTATTATGTTTTGTTTTATATTTTTCAACATTAAATTTTAATCATTTGAGAAAATGAAACTATTTTAAGCCAGCTGTTCTCAACCTGTGGCTCGCGACCCCTTTGGGGTGGGGGGGGGGAGAGTAAAAAGACCCTTAGACAGGGATCACCTAAGAACATCAGAAAACACATGTTTATGAAGTAGCAACGAAAATAATTTTAGGGTTGGGNNNNGGGGGGGGGGGGGGGGGGGGGGGGGGGGGGGAGGGGTCACCACAACATGAGGAAGTGTATTGAAGAGTTGCTGCGATATGAAGGTTGAGAACCACTGCTTTAAGCGATGTAATATACATTTCATTTCACATAGGTATTGAATTACTCGGAGATTTTAAAAAATACTTTGATTTATAATGTTTATTTTTTTTTTTTTTTAATAACATGTCACCATCTCTCCAAGCTCATCAAGAGATAATACGTTTTTCAAACATGATGCTTCAGAAATTTGAAAAAAAAATTGAATCCCTATGCTGTCCTTGAAACCGTTATCACTTTCGGTAATAAAATACCTTTAATTAAAACTATTGTAATTGGACAAGGGTTCATGATTATTCATGGGTTTAAAAAATATGGAGAAAAAAAATCCAACAAATACTTCCGGGTCATTTCCTATTAATAGATATCGGTTTGCGTTGACGTACCTCACTGAATAAAAGGAAGGACTTAAAAAAAAAGATGAAAACTCCATGTTGTGTGTCACCAGTAGGAACCGGGGAGGGGGGGAGGGGGGGGAAGGGGGGGGGCTGCTCTGATCTGTATCTAACTTTCTCACAGCTGGTGTCGACGTCATCGGAGCCGCTTGTGGGCTCAGCCGTTGATGTTCTCGCAGCTGGTGTAGTCCGAGTCGCAGAGCTTACATTCGCATCCAGCGGCGTCGAAGACGTCCACTGTGGGGTCGGGGTACCCTTCACATTCCGTCAGCGTGGCCCTCCTTCGGATGCGCCCTGTGTAGCTACAGACGGGGTGGTGGGAAATTTTGTACGGCATGACGTAGTCACCAATCTGTGGACACAGGAATAAAAAAAAAATATTTGTTTAGTTTGGCCTTTCAGTCTTTGATGTGGACAAAGGTTTGAGTGTTCTCGTTAGAATCCCTGAGATGATGTAATGCTTCAAACAAACCAACACGAACTGATGCCCATAGCTGGTCCATGAACCTAGGAGGACCAAATGTTTGTTCCAGTAAAAGCAGAGAACCCAAAAAATGGTCAGTCACGTGATCTCATCAAACGCATTTATATCGATAACTGATTAATTTTCCCTAAACACTCGTGTTGGACATGGAGTCGGGACAGTGAGACGCTCCTCTCGTAGTCATTGTCAAGAGCACGTCGGTTCGTGGTCTAAGACGGCTGTCAGGTCTTACAAAGGAACTTCTTTGTTTAAAGAGCAGAAGACGATAGAGAATTTTTAATCACGGTATAAAGGACGTTGTTCCTTGAAGTATAATTTAAATTCTCTTTCCACAGCTGCCAGGGATCTAATTGGTTTGTGAGACCGGTAGGAATCAAATGTTAGAGAACAAAAAAAAAAGACTTTTAAATGATATTAAATATATATATATATATATATATATATATTTCTAATCCTATGGTGAGCTTGCGCTAGTTTGTTTCAGGAAGTCGAGGTCAAAATTAGGATAATGTCTTTTTTTGATACTGCCGATCTTCTGTCTATATTAATTATTTGTGTTCTATATATATGCGGCAGCCAAGTTGTCAAACGTTAGCTTGTATTCACTCTTGTAAGTTAGAGGAGTTGCTGTTTGCCCTGTCACCATGGCAGTACATTGCAAGTAATCGTGCGTAATACTCAGTTCACACGATCAAATTTGAGTGACCTTATTTTTTTTGTGAATGCCATATGTTATAACACCAAATAATGCGTTGATTTTTTTTTTTAAATTGTCCAAAATTTAATCGTTTTACCTGAGCATAAATTTCGAACTTCTACGCGACGTGAGGGTTGTTATAGCACTTGGTAGGTATTTAGAAAACGATATGCAATATTCTGCTGGATCCTATTTTCGGTAAAGATCACAGTGTTTTTTGTTTCCTCTTACATTCTTCATTGATCTTGGTATCTATGCTTTTTATTTTATTTTACTTTCTTTTTCCATGGCATCTCTGAACTGTCCCTCTCATTTGTAAAAAAAACCCAATAAATATACTTTTTTATATTAAGTCAGGATATGAAAGAGAATAATGAAAATCCATATGCTTATTGATATTGTGATACTAGCTCAACGAGTGAAAACTTACTTTTTAACGTAAATAGTTGATACGAGCAACTATAATCCGTCAAATTTAAGGTAATGCGGACTATGTAATCATTCAAAGTGAGATACGTTGATTGACCACTACGCAATCGTTCATAGTGAGACACGTTGATTGGGCACTATGCAATCGTTCACAGTGAGACACATAGATGGAATAAATTGAATAAGGCGGTGATAACATAGTCAATGTCCATTACTTGTCCAATCAACTAGTGATTTCAGTGGGAAGCTTGGATACAAAAATATGAAATCTGGACGATGGCTTGGTGCTAACTAATCATCAAACACACAATGAAATCTGGACGATGGCTTGGTGCTAACTAATCATCAAATACACAATGAAATCTGGACGATGGCTTGGTGTTAACTATTCATCAAACACACAATGAAATCTGGACGATGGCTTGGTGCTAACTATTCATCAAACACACAATGGAATCTGGACGTTGGCATGGTGCTAACTATTCATCAAACACACAATGAAATCTGGACGATGGCTTGGTGCCAACTATTCATCAAACACACAATGGAATCTGGACGTTGGCATGGTGCCAACTATTCATCAAACACACAATGAAATCTTGACGAGGGCTTGGTGCTAACTATTCATCAAACACACAATGAAATCTTGACGAGGGCTTGGTGCTAACTATTCATCAAACACACAATGAAATCTCGACGAGGGCTTGGTGCTAACATGTCATCTCACACCCAATACAATGTATTCTATAATTATTTGCTTAAAACCTATGTTTTATTTTATTTTTTTAATATCCTTTTGTAAAATAAAGATTTTAAGCTACTAAACGCACATGTCTTAATTTTGACACATTTTTATATGAACGATCATGTTCGGGAAAAAAGAATTATGCAAAGAATAAAGAGATCAAGCCCTTATTTTGTTCTGTCTCTTCTCGGGGATTTTTGTGCAACTAGTTTTAGTGTATCCAAAAAGCCCATTTGACCGATACCATCGGTCAACGATGTCCAGGCATATAATAGTTAATTTCTTTCAGAGCCGGCTCAACACAACGCACCGGATGGGTTGATGTGAATACATCTACCTACTTTGGAAAGAAATATTTTTTTTTTTATACTGGACCCTGAAAAATTGCGAAACTCGCTTTAACTATGTTATACGGTTCGTCTGACGAAATGTCTGTCTATTAATATGATGAGCTTCCCATACTGGAGGAGGAGATCAGACTGTCAATTATTAGATTCTAGTGCATCAGAGTCAGTGACGGCTAATGGCGGATGGAAAGACGATATCTTGTTTTAATAATTCATTTATTTAAAAGAAAAAAAAAATGCGATCCTCTGTTCACTTAAATTGTCCATCTCCAAAATGAAGATGACTAGTACACAAAATAAAATTTTAAATAGTATAAACAATATTTGTTTTAAAGACACGCTCTTCCAAAAAAAAAAATGTACTGAAAAGGTATGAAGGAATGACCCCCAAAACGTCAGACATGGCACAGTCATAGAACTTGAACAGCTTGGGCAGCCCATGAACTCGATGCTCTTTGTTTCGGCTCAATTGAAGCTCAGGAACTGGGTCAAATTTGAGATGCAAGATTGATCACAAGCCAACACAAAGTGACAGAGCAACCTTAGAAAAATAGCATATGACATCATTGTATTACAAGGACCCCCCCCCCACGCCTTTTTTAGTCACGTGATTGTAAAAAAACGCTAAATGTTTTGTTGTTGTTGAGTTTTTTTTTTTTTATTTCTTATTTACACATGTGAAAATCTAAAATTTCTCTTGCAGTGTTCACCTGGTGAACGGCTGGAAAAGATTCCTGGGTCGATAGAGGCGGGTTGAACCTGTCGCTCAAATTATGTCACGTGATTGTAAAAAAACGCTAAATGTTTTGTTGTTGTTGAGTTTTTTTTTTTATTTCTTATTTACACATGTGAAAATCTAAAATTTCTCGTGCAGTGTTCACCTGGTGAACGGCTGGAAAAGATTCCTGGGTCGATAGAGGCGGGTTGACACTGTCGCTCAAATTATCGTGGCTGACCGCTCCTGCTTTAGTGAGTGAACGGGTGGGTGGGTGGATGAACTCAGAGCTAAATCTTGTGTTTAATGCCTAGGTAAAGAGTTAGGTCACTTTAACCTGGATTTTATACGTATTTTTTTTTTAAATGTAATTAATTCTATTTTTGTCTATAATTTAAAAATTATAATAATTTTAATACTAAAAAATAGAAAAATATTTAGAAAAATTAATCAAAATAAAACAAATTTAAGTTTCGTCTACATTCAGTTCGAATTCTTTTGGGTTCATAGAGCGCTCATCTACACTTCTCTACAGTGTCTCCTCAAGTGAGGCATTTTAAGAAATATAAGATTATTTTCTTCTTTTGGAGCGCAATAGCTCGTCTTTCAAAGAAAGTTTGTGTTTAAAAAAGAAAGAAAAGGCTCTTATCTCATGCTAAGCCCATTGGCGCCAGAAAGTGACGTCACTATGATGTCCGCCTGGTCACGTCCCTGAACTGACTTGTGATAAATGGTGAACACGTCCCAATTAGCGCAAGTCGTTTGTCAAGTCATTTACTTTGGTGGTGCTGATGAATATACATTTATGTGAATTGAAAAAGATGATGCACTCTTTGGCATTGTTGGTGCATCGTTTTTAACCTGTTGATAAAAGCATCTGTGCACATTACAGTCAACTGCGGGGCTCGGGTTCATACCCCTGAGTGATTTGGCCCTTGCTGCGTATACAATTCCGCTTGTGGCAAGTTAGCGTCTGCTGTTGATTAAATAATGGGCCACGCATTTTGAGAACACCCTGGCCATTTAAGGCGTTTAAACACCCGTGGGGCAATCAATCATCAAAGCAAATTGTGTTTGTAGCTGAAGGCGATGCTGTTGCATGGCAAGAAGATGGATGAAAAAGCGTTACGACGGTCGACTTTCCTGCATGATGTCACCATGCCATATCAGGAATCTATATGCATTGTAACAGTGAATGGCTGCCATTGTAACATTTCTCAAAGGAGCTAATATTTGGGCTGCAAGTTTGTTTTTGTTTTTTTTTTTAAAATCAAAGCATTAAAAATGTCCGTAAGCCAAACAAACTTTAAAAAAAAAATTATATTGTAATAGAACAGATGATCGCGTGGTTCGTTTCAACAAACTCGGTTAATGCGCTTGTATCTGTATTGGGCTTTGACTTATGTGAAGTTTAAAAAAAATCATATAGATTTTATTCAACACAATGCATCCCAGTTAAGATACGTCTCGTGGCTCTCGCCCATATCCAGACAAATGAATTATTATTTTTATACATGATATTTCAAATTCACTGTCGGCATATTAACAAAACCATAGACATTTTTTGCCTCAAAATTCTTATTAAAGAAAACATTTATAAATCAGGACAATGTCAACGTAATTTGGTTTGCTCTGACAGACAAACCAGCGGCCCCCCCTAACCCGCCCCCCCCCAATCCCCGTTTCGTCACGCTCCTGTCTAGTTAATGCCCAAATTGATTTGAAAATACTTATTCGATTTTATAACAAACAAGCAACCGTAGGGGTAAATTCTGATAGATTTATAGTTTATTTTCGTGTTTATTTCTGTTAGTGTATTCTCTTTGTGCAGTCCATGTGGAACAAGTGTCCTATACTTACGGTAATGATGTTAGCCAATATTATCTTCTCTTCTGTCCGCTAACATACGTCTGGGCTATTTATGCCACCATCACAGCCCTCACAGCCCCAAAGCCCATATTCCCATGACGTCAGTCTTTTTGACCATCTGGGGTCACCAAGGAGCTATTTCTGTTGCAAGTTTGCCAGCAACAGTTAAGCTAAACAACCATCGAGACCAGCAAGAAAATGAATTAGCGGGTCCTGCATGGCAAGGCTGTCTCGTGAATTTTCTTTAATGGCGTCTGCCAGAAGTCAACAACACATTTTTGTTACTAGGGTCCTCGTAGATAGGGCCCTTATGGTTTAAGATTTTCATTTATTTTTTTTTTGAGTTTTAGATAAGGCCTGATATTTGATCGGTTAAATTTATTGGGAACCCCTTGTTTGCGTTTCGACCAAAGGCTTGGTAAACAGATTAGCTTGAAACATTTCCCCACTTCTAGAGGGTTCCTAATTCCTGCTTGATTTTTTTCTAAACTTAATTCAAGTACGTTGAATAAAGTACATTTTAAAAAAAAAAGACTTAAATACATCTAATGCTTTAAGGTGCAGCATACTTTCAATCTGAACCGATTATTCTCTTAAGTTCATGATATATCTTCGTCATCCGATCGACGTTTGCTGAGACAAACCGTGACAGTGACTAATGAAATGAAAGTGGAACGACATCATTTCCTCTTTTCTTCACGAAAATAAAAAAAGTTATCTTTTAAGCCAGGGGTGTCAAACTCATTCGCTCGGTGGGCCAAAACTCAAAACACACGTAAGGTTGCAGGCCGAACAAGATAAAAATTCAATAAGTGGTAAATTAATATTTGAAAAAAAAACATTTATATAAATGAGAAAAAAAATTTTAATAATTAAAAACCATTGGCATCCATTTTCGTTCTTATGGCAATTTGTCAGAGCTGTATTTTCGGCACATTTTCTTGGCTACAAAAACAAGTAACGTTCTGTGTCATTGAGATTCTCATGATGGACTGCAAGTGTTCCTCAGTGAGACGACTCCTGCATGATTTTTTTGTTTGTGTGTTAACCTTCATCACAGAAAACAGCTGCTCACAAATATATATGCTAAGCAACATGCTCAAGGTTCAAGCAGCATGTAGACGAATCTGGGGCATCTCTTCGGGAATGAAATGAGGGAACTGTGCAGGCCCAACTGTGTCGTACTTTGCCTTTAGTGTTCCGTTACACTGCAGCTTTATTAGCTCCATCTGCAAATTTGCAGGTGCAGTTTCCACGTCTATGACAAATGGGTTACGAAACAGCTCCAAATTACATTTCTGTGTTTTAACATCACTAAAGCGCCGTGCGATCTCGGTTCGAAGTAAGCTACGGTTTTCAGCAAAGTGTGCAATTGGGCAACACCATAGCGTTGACTTGAACATAATTGTACCCGGTCAAGAATTCACGGGTACGGATATACCGTATTTATTGGCGTATAATACGCACTGTTATACGCGATATAATGTTTAGTTTTTTTCCTGAAATGTCCTTCTTAAATTGAGGTGCGCGTTGTACGCGGGGGCGTATTATACGCCAATAGTTACGGTAATTGTACGGCGGGCCGGACGTGGCCCGCGGGCCTTGAGTTTGACACATGTGTACTAAGCGGTCGTACCGCGTAGGGCTGGTGAATTAATCAGTGAAAGAAGATTTCAGCTTCCGCCTCCTCCTGGAAAGTTGGTGCGACATGAGAAAGGCCAGCATGTCCAAATCAGTGTCTACTTGATTGGTTTAACTCCAGCCGGCTCTTTGAGACGTTGTTCGTTAGTCGTACAAGAACTGAATCAGCACAAGTCGTTTTCCATAATAAATGCAACTTTGATCTGTAAATATATCCAACACACTGTGTACATGTTCATCAACACGCGTATAGCGCGGCTCGTTATCACAGAGAATAATTCATAATTATCTCCTACAGAGTTCTTTCCCCGGCTGCTTACTAATAAGATTGTACGCCACAAAACAGACTAGACCAGACGTCATAAAAAAACTATAAAAATATGTCACTAGGTAAAACGTAGGAAAAGCGTTCACTAACTACTGTCTCAAACACACACTACTCATTATCAAACATAACATGCAGTGCGCAACATTTATTAGTGAACTCCCATTCCCGACGCAGCACGCAATCACAGAATGATTTTCAAGTTTTCTGACATCGCATACAACGTTATCATTCAACACATTCGAGTTCCTTTAACGTTTAGTGAGACCAAATGATCGGGATGGAATAACAATGACTTCCAGGGGCGTCACTAGGTTTAGTGTTACCCGGTGCGGTAAACTCATTATGTCACCATCCTCAGAACCCACCCACTCCCTTTCCCGACCCCCCCCCCCGAGTCCTTCTTAAAGATCGTACTACTCTGTTTTTAGGTTTATTTTTCTAAATATTTTTTATAGATAATTCCTGGGGCTATTTTACGAATAGAGATAGAACGAGTAGACTTTCCATTTGAGCGGACAGCATTTAAAAAGACGCAGCAAAAAATTTTTTTTTTTTTCAAATATGAAACTTTACAGTTAAAACATTCCTCTTCTTGACAAAACGTGACAATTATTTCATCACAATTAACGTTATCTGATGTTATGACTTTTAACGGAAAAAATTGCAAGACCTGAAAGCCTGGACTGTTCCAAAATTAGACCGTAGACAGTTCTTAATGAGTTTCAGTTGTAAAAAGATCCTCTCACAATAGTCTCACAGATCGTCAGGTGCATTTGAAAAGAGTTCATTAGAGTACTGTATCCATGAAAAGTATCTCCTTCAAGTGACTTGCCAGAGCATGTATAACTCAATCTGAGTTTTTGGTGAAAGATCAGCTACTGATACTGACAGTCTTGTGGAACCCCTGCTCTTCGTGGCTTGGATGTGGTGTGAAACCAACTCGATCGAGCTCCGTAATTTTTTTTTTTTCATTTCGTTGCAGCCCCCCTATGGGGGTGTCGCCTGGAGTGGCTCCCACACCTTCCCTCCTAGTGAGGCCGCTGATGACGTCAGATAGTTAAGTATGTATACCAAAAGAAAAAAAACAACCTAAGCTTAGCATAACTGAAAGTATTGAGAGCCATCGGGAGAGCGTTAAAGCCTTGCAGCCTTTTATGTGATGCAAATGATGATGTTAACGGATGGAAAGAAGAATAAACTATTAGCCAGCGGTTCTCAACCTGTGGGTAGCGACCCCTTAGGGGGTCGCCCTACCCTTTCCCAGGGGTCGCCTAAGACCATCTTAAAACACATATCCTTACAGCTATGAAGTGGCAACGAAAATAATTGTGTGGCTGGGGGTCACCACGACACGAGAAACTGTATTAAAGGGTTGCGGCACTAGGAAGGTTGAGAACCACTGCTCTAAGCCCTTACCAATGACGTCAGTAACACGGAAGTAATCGGCTCAATGTAAAAAAAGAAAATGATGAAAAGTTTGGTAATTTGATAAACACGGCTCTTTAGTCTGTGCATCGTCATTTCTTCGGAATCTTGTGTTATACCAAAGCTCTTGGTCATGGGGGACTGAAGAGAGTTGACGAGCTTCATATAATATATCTGCTGACGGATTGGCCTTGCGCCTAACTCACAGAGTTGAAGGGATTTGTGCCATCTGGTGAATTGGAATTGGGCCTAACTCACAGAGTTGAAGGGATTTGTGTCATCTGGTGGATTGGAATTGCGCCTAACTCACACAATAGCGAACAGTGGCAGATCAAATAGAATTTAAAGGGGTTATTTAGCATAACTGTCGTCTTAAATTGCTCTAAAGCTTGGTAATAATAGGAACATATATTATATGTTGGCGTTCCTTTTAACCTCATCGTCCTAATTCTTAGAGCTTGTGTACTTCGTAATGAGGTTCTATTTTGGTGATTTTTTCCATTCAAGTAGCTCTTCAAAGCAAATACATTTTAGTTGTTTTTTTTAAAATTCGTTCTTGTTGTCTTGCTTTCTTCACGGAAGAAGCCTCTAAGCCCGAATTTACTTGCTAGTGTTTCGTTGTATATTTCAAGAATCCAAAACTATTATGACTAATAGTCCCTTTACATGGCTTGAATGCAACCTGCAGTCTACACTCTTCACTCAGCATTCTACATTCTACTTTCTACACTCTACATTCTACATTCTAAACTCTACAATCTTCCCTCTAAATTCTACATTCTTAACCATTCATTCTACACTCTGCACTCTACATTATACACTCTACATTCTACAATCTACAATCTACACCCTACATTGTACACTTGACAGTCTACATTCTAAATTTTACACTCTACATTCTCCACTCTGCATTCAACACTCGACATTCTACACTCTACATATTTACACTGGACATTCTACACGCGACATTCTACCCTCGACATTCTACACTCTCCACTCTACACTTGTTTATTAAACATTAAATGGCCCGTAACTGCAAGCCCCCATACTTTCCTCTGAGACAAATTACATCAATCAATAAATTACTTGTGTTATATTTTATCATCCCGCCCCCCCCCCGTACACATTACAATCACCGCAGTTTAACTAACCAGGAGAAGAGAATACATATGATCGCCGTGGAACACTACCAATATTCAAATTTTGGAAACATTATCATTTGAATAAGACTAAGCAAAGACAAACAGACAGCGAAACAAACGTATTTTCTTGTGGCGAACGTTAACGGTAGTTCAGCAACACTCCACATTCTTGAAATCGGCGGAAAACGTGTAGATTGCCGGCAACTTATTCTCGTATTGCCGTGTTTCTCCACCAGAGGGCGTTGTGCATTAACTTTAAAAAAAAAAACACGCGTGACGTGCACGCGGGGAGTATGTGTGTGACCGGAAATGTAACTCGTGGACGGATCATTTCCGTTACAGCGTTCACGGTTTGGCGTCCAACCAAATTAGTAAAAAAATATTTTAAAAAAACGTTTTTTCTGTATCTAATCGACATCGATCTTCGTGTTGACCTCCTTCAAATGGCACCTAGGCATTCGTTAATCTTTAACCTCCTTCAAATGGCGCCCAGGCATTCATTAACCTTTGGCCTCCTTCAAATGGCACCTAGACATTCATTAATCTTTGACCTCCTTCAAATGGCGCCCAGGCATTCAATAACATGGGACCTCCTTCAAATGGCAACTAGGCATTCATTAACCTTTGACCTCCTTAAAATGGCACTTAGACATTCATTAACCTTTGACCTCCTTCAAAAGGCACTTAGACATTCATTAACCTTTGACCTCCTTCAAATGATACCTAGGCATTCATTAGCCTTTGACCTCCTTCAAATGGCACTTAGACATTCATTAACCTTTGACCTCCTTCAAATGACACCTAGACATTCATTAACCTTTGACCTCCTTCAAATGGCACTTTGGGATTCATTAACCTGGGACCTCCTTTAAATAGCCCCTAGGTAGTCATTAACCCTTGACCTCCCGTGTTAACACTGCACAGATATACTAGATCTACTCGTTCCAGCCATCGATGGTTAGCTTTGCGGTAGCTTTGCATGGGGAATGTCCTGGAAGTGTGTGTGTGTGGGGGGGGGGGCTTTCATTTCAGCCCGGTAAACATTGAGCTACCTCAGCCAGGTAAACTTTGTGGTATTTCAGCCAGGTAAACTTGTTGGTATTTCAGCCAGTAAATTTGGTGGTATCTCAGCCAGGTAAATTTTGTGGTATTTCAGCCAGGTGAACTTCATGGTATTTCACCCCAGTAAACTAGGTGGTATTTCAGCCTGGTTAACTTTGTGGCATTTCAGCCTGGTAAACTTGGTGGTATTTCACCCCAGTAAACTAGGTGGTATTTCAGCCAGGTAAACTTAGTGGTGTTTCAGCCCGGTAAACTAGGTGGTATTTCAGCCCTATAAACTTGGTGGTATTTCAGCCCGGTAAACTTGGTGGTATTTTAGCCCTATAAACTTGATGAACTCGAACGAGCGCAATAAGATCACGTTTACAAGAGTTTCCTGTTTCGGTAACAGTCTGTCGAATGACTTCTCATTCGGTGTAATAGCTACATGGCATTAGTTTCAGCCGAACTTCTTGCAAGAGATATATCTTTTTGATGTGTGTGTGTGTCACTTGATATAGAGTCACGGTGTTAATTTAGACGAGATCTCTTTTAGGGTTTTCAGTTTTTTACTGCGAGAAATTGTAAGTGTGAACGTCTCATATGGCATCAGACTATCACTTTGAGAGATACTTAGATATGACCCATTGTTTCCTTGTTCTTATGGCAGGAATGTCGTTTTTTAAATTTTTTTTTTTTTTTTTTATGTTTTTTTTTTTTCCCTCATTCCCCCCCCCCCCCCCCCCCCCCCCCCCACAACCCCATAACACGACAAGTGGTAACTTTCGTGACTGTAACTTAATAGGATTTTGAGATATTGGCTATAAAATGAAATACTCTAATATCTAGAATCCCAAATCTAACTTTGGGGGGAGGGGGTGGAGTTGTTGTTTTTTTTTTTTTGCAGGACATGGCTCTAGATGTTTTGTTTTGTTTAATCAAACCAGCAACAACAAACAAAGAAATCTTTATTGAGATATGAATATGAAATATAAGTGAGCCCGCAACGTGTCCAAGTCCACACCCATCACTTGTACATCCAGAAATTCTAAAAGAACAGCTACAGCCAACCAAACAATGGCTTCCATCGACCTGAACTACTTGACAGAACATGCATTCATGTAAAGGACTTTATAAGACTCAAAATGAGTGCCCATCCCCAACCCACCCCCCCCCACCCCACGAGGCACGTTACGGCCCCTGAACTGTATCAATATTGTCATGTCCCAACCACTTGTACACAGCAAATGTATTTGCACCAGCTATTTCTACCAAACAATGGCTTCCATCGACCTGAACTACTTGACAGAACATGCATTCATGTAAAGGACTTTATAAGACTCAAAATGAGTGCCCATCCCCAACCCACCCCCCCCCCACCCCACGAGGCACGTTACGGCCCCTGAACTGTATCAATATTGTCATGTCCCAACCACTTGTACACAGCAAATGTATTTGCACCAGCTATTTCCGACAAACAAAAGAAAATAAATTACGCAAATAACACGATGGTTGTATTTTTTTAAGAGTCTCATTTAGAGCACTAAGGGGAGGGGGGGATTTTACTTAGTGAGCTCAACGCCGTCTGGTAGCGTTAGTGGCATTGTTACATTGAGAATTATAGATTTCAATCTTTCCTTATTTCAAAGAGTTATCAAATGCACCATCGTCTCGCGAAAACGGAAGGATGCCATATATATATTTATTTATTTATTTATATAAATATACAGTATATATATATATATTGAATTATGTATGCAGAAATAAAAACGTTTGTTACATTTCCTACCATATGCACTGTTCGCTGAAGAAGGCTTCTTACCAATATGATCTTTTATTTGTTGCGTCCCTTTTTTACCAACCTTGTTTGACATATCTCCTGTCTATGGTTTGAAAAGCTTCTTTAAATACATTTTATAAATGCGCACCGAAAACATTCTTTGAATGCATACTTAATGATTCTGTAGTACATTATTTATTTTTCAAAATTATCTTTAGACCAATACGCGCGTCTGTAACGTCTTTGAGTTTTTATTGCTTTTCTCATACAATGTAACTACATTTTTGCCACGTCCCAGAATTCAATTATCGGGAAAACTGAAAAGAAATGTAATTCCTTGTTGTTGTTTTTTAAAGAAAATGTTCTTTTAGAACAACTTTAAAAGTGCACCATTCTGCGAAAATAATTTACAGCTTTACTGGCGACGTGTGCACCAAAATGTCGTCTATTGAATATCTGCATAAAAGGGATTTGTCCACAGCGTTGAGCAAATTTTAAAATTACATCCTTTGGGTGAAAGGATTTTGGGCAAACTTTGCCAGAACCATGCCTAATTTCGTTTCAATCTACTCGCATAGAGTACAAAATTGCAACTTTTTGCTACCGCTGCTTACATGACCTGTCGCCATCTTATCTCAAAGCACTCATGGCACCTTATGTACCCACTAGACAGCTCCGCTCATCCAATAGTGGCAAAATATCGATTCCGCATGTTCGCCTTGAGACTTACGGAAAGCGCATATTTGCATTTGCCGGCCCAACAATTTGGGAACGCACTACCAGTCGCTCTCAAAAACAGCCAGACACTGGAGTCCTTTAAAACCTATTTAAAAACACATCTATTTCGCAAACACCTTCTGGGGTGATGCTATCTGCCATCTTTTTCAGTTAATGTATGTTGGCTTGTGTTGCTTAGGGTTGAAACGGGATGAAAGACTTTGACTTGGTATGTGCTCGTATGTAGTTTTATATTGTTGCGTCTGTTTTTTAGATGTGGTAAATTTTAGATTGTTTTTATTTCTCTTTTTAATATGGCAGACTTTGTACCGCGCTTCGAGCTTTTGAGGATGAAACGTGTTTTTCAAATAAACTTTATTATTATAATTATTATTACATGTATGTATGTATGGATGGAGGGAGGGAGGGAGGGAGGGATGGAGGGAGGGAGGGATGGAAGGAGGGATGGATGGATGGATGGATGGATGGATGGATGGATGGATGGATGGATGGATGGATGGATGGATGGATGGATGGATGGATGGATGGATGGATGGATGGACCTAGATCTATCAGCAAATACTATGATTGATTGAAAGTTCAGCTGAGATAACTCGCGTGTCTGTACCTTGGATCAAAATGATTGGTTTATATTGTTGTGAATGTAGTCCTTTAATTATTTCATTTATATTGTTGTGGCAGTATCCGGTGGTATATCACGTGGGTTATACGCCATTTAAATTATGTACGGCCATAACACAGAGCTTTGAGTGTATGTATTTATAGAAATTAGATAACTCAGTAGACTGATATGATTAACAAATTTATGCCTGTGAAATAATTATACATTTCACGGAATTGTGTTTAATATATTTAGTTGGGGCCTTTCTTAATGCTAGATCTAGAAATAAGAGGTGGGAAAACCAAGAAGGCACAGAACTACATAGGGCCCAGACCATTTTCCACCTTTCGCTCGGGAGCCTACAGCGTCCTCGATTTCTGCTCTCCTACACGCCATCCCCCACATCCCAAATCTAGTTGTTGTTTTTATCCGAATGAACTTTTGAATGTTTGCAAATACAACGCTGTGTAAATCAAACAATCAAAGTTTGTTGACATGCGATAGTTCAACAAATCTTTACAAACACACGAAATTATTATAATTTTGTTATTTCCTTAAAGCGTCTTTGGCAACGTTCTGTAAAGCATATGTTATGTAGCATTCATCATTATTAATTGGCACATTGTATTAACTGTGTACCGGTACAAGATCTACCATACTGTAAGTTGATGATTTATAATTATATTTCTTTTCTTTTGTTATTGTACTAATACTTAATAAATCTTAATTAATTGTAACTGGCAACTGTTTTGGGTGTCGTATCTGTGATATTTTTTACTCTTATGGAATCGTCCTTTGTTAGCCACTGCTTACAACGAGCCAATAAAATTAAAATAGGAGATTAATTTCTCCAATTAGAAGCCAGTGCGTAACACATAATTTCTATTTACACTTGAAACTCCAGCAAAAACGCTGTTGATCTCATCCGCCTCAACACTTGTTGTATTAACACTTATCAATTGTAATCAAAATATGACATCTTTCGTCACCTTACGCTCGCACTTGTTCATGTGACGCAAAAAAGGATAAGTGGGGCTTTCCAGCTGAGCTTTCTGGACAAAAGGAATGGTCTGCACTTTTATTATCTATAATGATAACTGCCTAGTGGATCATGTCCGCCACACTGGGGTCTCATTTTCTGCCCCCCCCCCCCCGGTCGTGCGCTTGATCATGTACGCACCAGATGCGCACAAAAGAACCCATTCGTTACACATCGCTCACTGATGACTTACAATTCTAATGCTCAGTTCACACGATCATATTTTCGTTAAATTGCCTTCAAATTTTCGTCATATTTCTTTTTGAAACTTACTTTTTTGGGGTTAGAACATAGGGCGTTAAAAAAAAGAAATGCGATGAACATTTTTAACATGTAATAACATGCAATAATAGTTAAAATAGTATTATTTTTTTTAAAAATATTGTCCGTTAAACTGAAGCATCTAATTAAATGACGAATTTGCCGGCGGCCATGAAAGAGCGATAGCACGGTCCCAAAAAGTGAATGTAATATTTCAGTTAAATTAAGAATCGTGTGGTTGAATGGAATCGTATGAATAAATTGAGTCTATTTGGAACTTTCGAATGGTGCGGTCAAGTTGAATGCTTAAAAGTTATGATAATCGATGAATAAAAATGTGCTCAATTTACTGAAGCCTCGTTCTCATTTTGTTTGCATTGACCAAAGTTCACGGGCGAGGAAAAAACACGCGACACAAAAAACAATTGACTCGAGACCATGGCTGTCAGACAACGTTAATTTGTCGTCCGCTACTTGAGACCGATCAATGCAATTTATAAATGCGACATTTGGTTTGCGCGCCATTAACGCGCAGTTCCGAGCTTAATTTGTGTCGGGTCTTCTGCTTTTTCCCCATTCTGAAATAATGTTTACCGTCTGTAAGAAAATCTTAGGACCCGCGATGACGACAGTTGTGACGTCCGTTCTTCAATGTCGTCTAGAGCTGTGAACAGCGCCTTAGGACAACATTAGGGGCTTGACTCGGGTTCTTGAACGTGGTTCGTACTGGAGTCAAATGTTACATGGACGCCGGTGGAATATTCAAAGGGGAAAGGGAAGGGGGGGGGGGGCGCTTAGAGGGGGAAGGCGGGGACGCCGTTATTATATTTTATGCTAGAAGGGTAACGGGCGAACGTATTTTCTGCAGCCATGTCCGAGATAATATATATATATGTATATATATGTATATATATGTATATATATAAATTCCGTGCTTATTTGTCACAGAAAGCAGAGGAACTGCGCTCCTTTTACTATTTTATTAAACTTTTGTATAAAAAAAAAAGAGGAACACGTTGGTTGAGGATATTCAAGACAATTAAACTACAGTTACAAGACGACTTCTTTCCATCGGTCAAGATTATTATAATAACATGTCTTTTTAGCCAGAGAGAAGACATTTTTCTTATAATTCAAGACATCAAAGTGAGAAAAAGTTATTGCGAAAAATCCAAACTGAAAAACAGATTCAAATAGATGTCAAACAGAGGTCAAATAGAGGTCAAACAGAGTTCAAACAGAGGTCAGACAGAGGTCAAACAGAGGTCAAACAGAGGTCAAATAGATGTCAAACAAATGTCAAATAGTGGTCAAATTAGTAAGAAGAGATAACACTGAAAAAAGAGTTAAAAACATTTTTTCAGTTGCATACAAAGAGGTTGAACGGAAACTCTAGTCATTTTGCTATATGACTGGTACACACAAAAAGGAAAGTGACCAACAGAGCCAAAGTGCTCTTGTCTAAAACAATGGTAAAGATATGTAAAATGAATTCTGACTTACTTCACTTGAGTCACATCGTCCCCAGCAAGAGTTGACTGTGACCGACCCAGTGCAAAAGACGGTGGTGCCATCGGGAAAGGTGATCGGAGGTTTGGTGACCCGGAACTGAAAGCTGCGCACGTGGCAACTCAGCGTCGTCCTGGGGTCAATCAGGTGACCAGGGGTCATCAGGAGGCTCATGAGGAGGAGGGCGGTGGCGATGATCGGAGGAGGCGGGCAGGTCAGAGGTAGGTGGAGGAGCCGGGACGCAAGGCTCATAGCTGAGGAGACACATACGGGGAGGTGAGGTTAGATGTGAGAAGACCTATGAGGGGAAGTGAGGCTGGGTGGGGGGTGAAATATGAGGTATATGAGGGGAGGTGAGGTTAAATGTGAGGAGAAATATGAGGCGAGGTGAGGTTAGATGTGAGGAGATACATACGGGGAGGTGAGGTTAGATGTGAGGAGATATATACGGGGAGGTGAGGTTAGATGTGAGGAGATATAGGAGGCGAGGTGAGGCTGGGTGGGAGGTGAACTATGAGGGGAGGTGAGGCGGGGTGGGAGGTCAAATATGAGGAATATGAGGGAAGTTGAGTTTAGATGTGAGGAGATACATGCAAAGGGAGGTAAGTTTAGATGCAATGGAGACCTATGAGGTGAGGGGAGGTTAGAGTATAGTAGAAAAATGAGGGGTAAGGGCAATGTTTTACTGTGTTGAACAAAGAAATATGAAGGAGGCCAGGTTAGGTCAGTAGAGAAATATAAGTGGAAGTTAGGTTAGGTTTGAGGAGCGGTTGGACTATAATTGATTGGAGAGGGTTAGAAATAGAAGATAATTTCTGATACGTTAAGAGTCTGAGGAAAACAGTTCAAGAAGACAGAGTTCAAATATGAAATGTAAAGAGGGGGGGGGCGGGTGTTGAAAGGTTAGGGAATGAAGAGCTCAAAAGACTTTCAGAATGAAACAATGCAAATAAGGTTCGAGTCTTTTAAACGAAATCAAATGATGGCTTTGTGACGTGCAGAAATATTTGAGATCATGTGAAAGTGAGAAGAAAAAAAAAATAGAGGAGGAGATTTTTATTTTTTTTTGATACATAGAATTAATATAAATGTATTACGAAAATATAATAGACATCTTAAAGCGCTATTTCTGTGGTATGGGCAAATATAATCCTACTGCTGCTACATGTTTGATATAGTATAACGTCTCTATACAAAAAGGTACACACATAAATAAACCAAAAAATATTACTTATTTTTTTTTTTAAATAGAGGAGCTAAAAATTGAGAAACGGCAAGGTTAAACTCGGCGGCAAGGAAATGAAAAAAAAAAATTGGCTTTAAAGAGAAATTGTACACCTGAAATTTAAACCTAAAAATGGCTAAAGAAGTTAATTTTAAAAATTATTTGTAAAATGTATCAACTCTAGCAACATAGTCGTCGATGCTTCTGAATGCAGCTTATCAATTTTGGGGCCAAAAAAAAAAAATTAAATTGAGGAAAATCACGTGACCAAAGTCTGTTGACGCCGGGATCATGTCTACCAAAAGTCTAACGTGGCACACAGCAGTCTAACGTGGCACACAGCAGTCTAACGTGGCACACAGCAGTCTAACGTGGCACACAGCAGTCTAACGTGGCACACAGCAGTCTAACGTGGCACACAGCAGTCTAACGTGGCACACAGCAGTCTAACGTGGCACACAGCAGTCTAACGTGGCACACAGCAGTCTAGCGTGGCACACAGCAGTCTAACGTGGCACACAGCAGTCTAGCGTGGCACACAGCAGTCTAACGTGGCACACAGCAGTCTAGCGTGGCACACAGCAGTCTAACGTGGCACACGGCGAGCGTGCCAGAATGTATGCAACGGTTAGCTGAGAACGATGTCGGTAAAAGTTAAAGGTGTTGTTGCACCATCTGTAAATGGAATATAAGTTTAAGCCAGTGATCACGTGGTGTTAGCGTCATATATAAATGTATACTATCAGGAGAAATGTTCTGAAATTTAAGGAAACAACTGCGCTTGGAGGGCGGGGAGGGGGGGAGGGGTGTCAAAATTGTATCATTTATATTCAGATTTTTATTTTTTTTTAATGCATGGCGAAATATACTTTTAAAAATCGTTTCAGTTTCCATGGTAATTGATGAGATTAGGTGTCTGGGTGTCGAAATTACAGCAACACCGGCACGGCGGTAGGGGATTCATTTCTTTTTTGTTAAACGTCTGCGGGATGTCTCCCTCCATTGGAGACTCTTGGATTAAACTTTGTCAAACCGATCACGTGCTACAGACGAGTGTGGATGAACCGCAGTGTGCATGGTTATGTGGCGATGGCGCTGACGGGGGGAGGGGATGTGGTTGCTATAAATGTAATACATCAAGGAATTACTGCTCGAAAATTCGTTTTTGTTTTTTTTTTTTTTTTTTTTTTTTTTTTTTTTTTTGCAGGTTATATGGGTTTGGTTCTCGTTAGGGTTGAGATAGAAGGGAGATATGAGATATTTGCGTCTCGTTATTTGCATGGCCACTCAGCACTCGATCATTGAAATGGAACCTCCCTCGCAGTTTCGTTAACTTGTAATTGTGAAATACATTTATTGCCGGAATAGTTTAGAGAGTCCACCTGCGCCATTTGTTTGAACATTTTGTAAGCATTTAATGGTTTATTTCCACCCCCGAACCCATTTAGACTTCAAACCAGAGTCTAAAGAGAGGAGACTTTCTTTACATGGTATGTTAAGAAGGGTTTATTCTAAATGGGGTATCTCATGAAATGGGGCATTCTAAATGTGGTATCTCATGAAATGGTGGTTTCTAAATGTGGTATCACATGAAATGGTGGTTTGTAAATGTGGTATCTCATGAAATGGTGGTTTCTAAATGTGGTATCTCATGAAATTGGTGGATTCTAAATGGGGAATAAACTTCTGATTCCATTGTATCTTAGCTCCATTGGGCCTATGTATTGTAATATAGACAACAGTTTCGTTTTGTTTCTTCTTGTCAGGTTTTTTTCCAGCACCCTGTGTCTATTCCCTGGTCTTGGTTACTAGGTTCAGGTGACTAGGTTCAGGTGACTGTTCTCAAGTGAGAACTGTGCCGTAAAAAACAAAACAAAACAAAAAAATCAAAAAACAACACATCCAAAAAATAACTGTTTCATTTTGAGATTGTGACCAAAAAAACCACTGCTGATGCCAACAGGGGAAGTCACTTCACATTCAGACACTTGCTGCGATCTGGTTAAAGCGAGAAGTTCATCGCCCACTCTATCGCAGCTGACCATAATGACATAGCAACCTGAAACGTTAAACTGAAGAGAGAGCTCCCGAGCACCATTTAGATTCCACGCAAAACCATCGTCACGAGATTACGCCGGGGTACAGATGCGCCTGGAATAATATTGCAAAAGTCAGGGGTTTGGTGGGGTGGGGGTAGATGTGGGGGGAAAGAAATATCTATATCCCACACCACACATTTTCAAAAAAAGTCCCCTTTGAAATAAAAATATTGTGTCCTGTGGGGCTGCACCACACACCACACATTTCCCAAAAGTCGCCTTTGCGATAAGAACATCATGAATAGAGTGAAACTTGCCGTAATATTTAATGAACAGTATCCTCGATTGAAATGTTCCAAATAATTAAGAGGTCTTGAACTAAGACTTCAACTCATTCTTTATTGAAATTAAACAACCGATTAAAAACAAACTTGTTCGTATCAATCCTTTATAGATTTTAATATCCAGCAATGGGGGAAGGGGGGGGGGTGGGGATCGATCTGAAGATTTGACAAAACATGCATACACCAAACACACTTCATAAGAATCCCAATTAGTCCCCCCTCCCCAACCCCAAAGGCTCGCAAACGCACATTTTTTGTCACGCCCCTGAACTCTATTATTATTCTAATGCTCCATCCGCATTTACACTCCGTATTTATTGGACCAAATATTTCAGAACAACAAAATAAAATATTACGCACTAAACGCTCTTGCAAATTTTTTTGTTTTAAACCCATTTAACGCAGTTATCGGGAATTTTATTTCGTGCAATCGGTGTCATCATATTTATTTCAGCTTCCCCTTAGAAAAACAGGGAAACTGGTTGTTTTTTT